GTTTTGGTGGTTTGGGGTTTTTTTGGTTTGTTTTTTTTTTGTACTTCTTGTTTTCTCAAAAATTGCCTTTACTTGAATAAAATGTGCTTGCATTTCTGCAGCAATGAGTAACTGACCACTGCAATAGACTTGGACCCTGATGTTGCCCTGGAGTTACAGACAGATCAGGCCACACAGAATAAATGCCTAAGTGAGAAGTGCCACTTTGTCATGGTGTGAGAGGCCATGCCTGGGTATTATTGTTGATGTTGGTGGCTTTTTCATGGAGGAAGCAGAGGATGATTCAGAGTTTCGACCTTTATGCAGGAAACATTTGTTTAAAAAAAAAAGTTTTCCTTCTTGGGTAATTTCTTTTGCATTTTGTTTCCATGGAGGTTTTCTCTACCATTCCCTTCTGGAGAAAAGGCAAAAGAAAAGTTCTCTTGCAGCAACCAGGGAAAATGGTTTAATGTCTTCCCACTTAAGTGGATATAAGATATAGTACCTCTCTGCCACAACAGGAACTGAACTTGAATCCAGGAAGACCTTGGGGAGACCTCATAGCACTTTCCACTATCTAAAGGAGGCCTACAGGAAAACTGGAGAGGAACTTTTGACAAGAGCCATGTGCTGGGACAAAGGACAATGACTAAAGTGAAGAAAATACCTGATATAAGTGGATTTAGAATAGGTATTTGGAAGAAATTCCTGTGAGGGTGGTGAGGCACAGGCACAGGTTGCCTAGAGAAGCTGTGGATGCTCCATCCCTGGACGTGCTCCAAGCCAGGCTGGATGGGTCTGCGAGCAATCCGGGGGGAGAAGGGCTGCCCTTTGAGGTCCTTTCGGCCGCCAGCTCTGCGGAGCTGCCGCTAGAGCGCACTGCCGGCCGCGCCGGGCGCTCGGAGCGGGGCGGGCGCCGCCGGCAGCTCGGGTCAGCCGGGCCGGGCCCTGCGCACGGAGCGGTGCCCAGCCCCAGAGGCACACGCGGGAACTGCCCCTTCAGCCCGCCGTCCGAGCCTGAGCTAGCGGCTGTGCCCGCGGGCATGTGGTTAATACTGCGCCCAAGCTCCATTTTAGCGCTTTCGTGAGCTCCCAGGGAGAGGTCCGTAGCGGAGAGAGCTGATAAAAGCGTCATTACAAGGGCTGCAAAGCACAGATCACGCTGTTTTCCACGCAAGCTATATCCTGGTTTCTTCATGTTTTTTGTGCCCTGTCAGTGAAAACCTCAGGATGTCTGAGGGAGACAGGCACAGCTCATGCTGTGCACGCCAAGTCCCTCTGGATACACTGAATTTCAGGCTTGGACAAGCGGCCATTCCCTCTGCCTTATGTGAGCCCACAGCAGGAATACTGGTTCCAGTGCAAGAAAGTCATTCTTTTACTGGAGCTCAGCTGAGGACATCAAGGCAGGGAGCAGGACACAGGAGATAGGCTGAAGGAATCAGGATTGTTCTCAGGGAGAGCAGGTGAGCATGGGGCCTAACTTGCAGTCTGAAAGAGGGTTACAGAGAAGATGGAGCTGAGATCTTCTCTGAAGGGTACTAAGACAGAGAAAGAGGCACGGAGCTAAAGCTGTGCTGAGAGAAAGCCTGGTGGGTCGTAAAGGAAAAACATTCTTTCCTTGAAAGTGGGGCAGCCCTGGAATGAGGACAAGAGGGGGATCATCTCATGTCTTGGAGAAGGTCAGCACTTGACTAGAGAAAGCCCAAAGCAGTCTGGTCAGACTTAGCCATGCTCTGAGTAGGGGCTGGATTCAGGATCTCCAGGTGTCTCTCCTCACTTAGCTTTTTGTACAGTGACATGATTTCCTGGCAGACCAGGAGAGTCAGGCCAGGTGATGGAGCACTGATGAGCCTGGCTGGACGCACAGCTCCGGTCTGTGGCGGCCCTGGCAGCATTATAAAAGTATTTATTTAAATAGTGAACACAGGATGGGAAGGAGCAGAGCTAACAAGCCCTGAGCAGGAAGTGGTGGCCAGAGAGGGAGTGGGTATTTGCTGTCTCCAGGATTTACTGCTTAAAGTCAATATTAGTGAATTAATTAGCAAATTTTTCTTATCATGTAAGACCAGGCACTTATGGGGTGGAATGGCTTTCACTGACTTGTGGTGGCTTCTGGGTCTAAGTTGCTTGCCAGCTTCTTTCTGCTGAGGCTTAGCTACGACTTCACTTCTCCTAAGGACAGGAAGATCTTTCTGGTTCAAAACATCACTCATGAGCAACAGCCTGCCACAGATCACCCCTGACTTTCAGCAAATGTGGGGGGCTCCATATATGAAGAGTAATTTGAGCAGTGGAAAGCCAGGATGCACGAACCAAACTTCCCTTATCCCACAAAGCTGGAAGCATATTTCCTGAAAGGATACTTGAAAGGTAATCAGCATGTACAGAGGAGAGTCTGGTTCTCCAGGATATGATGTTAGGTTTCCTCTCCTTAGCACTTGTGTCATGGCTCTCAGAGCTCAGGATGGCCTCCCGTGCTCTGCAGCAGGGGGGTCAGGACCTGCAGCCCTGAGAAAAGCTCACAGGAGTGTGTTCAGTGCAGCCCAGTTGACTTTAACCAATGTCCTGCTGAATCTCACTAGCGAGGAGCAGCTACAATGCTCATGTCCACCGTGTACCACAACACACCTTCATCTGTGTGCCACAAGGAGCAGGTCAGAGCATCCTGGAGGAGCCTCAGGCAGCCCTGCCAGTTTACAGCACAGCAAGGATCACTGTGTCAGGCACTTACCTGGCTCCCTGTGCTGGCCCCATAGCTCAGAGGCTATTTCCCTGCACCCATAATAATTCTCTTTGCTAGTAAGGAGGCTGCAGTCAGTTAAAGGTCTCTGCCCTCCTCCCTTCATGATTTCCCCTTCATGTCAGACCCAGACCATAGCTGTCATACAGTTTTCACTCAGAGCATGAAAATTTACTTTAGTGGACTCTCTGCCAAGGCCCTGGGTAAAGACATCTGTCTTGGACTCAGGAAGGAGGGAAGAGAGGGAGAAGGTGTCTTGTTGCACCTACAAAACAGCAGCCTCCCTGTCCCAGATACAGCTGTCCTTGCCAGCCTGTCCCCAGCTCCATTCAGGCAGCAGAGCCTACCTCAGGGGTACACATGGACCACCTCAAGTCCAGCCTCACGCCTGAACCCCGTCTGTATAAGCAAGAGCTCTGTTATCTGTCCTCTCAACAGAGAAAGAACTAATGCATGGCCAGTGAAAGTGTTGATTAGGAGGGCTTTATCTTTCTCTTGTTCAGTTTGTGATAAGATTTTTCTTGTTTGCATAGGCACACCTTTTTTACTGTCTGCCAAAGAAGACAAAGTAAGAGCAGCTCTAAGAGAGAGTATGCAGTACCTGGGATGACTCCAGGATTTCCTAGCCACTAAAGGCATCTCCACAGGGATGAACAGAGGTGCTTGCTCTGGTTCCTGCGCATTTCTGCTCTCAGGGAGCTCTCCCAGCCCTCCCAGTGCAAGGGTAACTGCTGCCCACGTGTGTTTCAAGAGTGAATGTTGTCCCATGTTCATGGACACCTCACTCTGCCAGGTCTTCACCACCTCCTACAGCTCCACTTCACAATGGAGAAGGTGGAATGTGGTTGTGCTGTGCCCTCCTTGATTGATGTAAGCTGTAAGATGAGTCTAAAACCCCCTAGAAGTGTCTTCTCCTCAAAATCTAAAGGGCTTCGGAAGCCAGGAAAATGTAAATGTCTGCAGATGTGGAGTGGGCAGCATGGCTGACTCCTGCTCCCTGTCAGCACTGCAGAGGGTTAGAGAGCAGGGAAGGGCACTGGAGGGCAGGGGAGGGCCACAGGGTTTCTGCCATGGCACGTGTGGGGCTCCAGCAGCTGGAAGGGTCTCCTGGCAGCAGCCACTGCCCAGCCTTTCTGCAGCACGGTGTGGGCACCACACTTGCAGGAGGGCCCCAGCACAAGTGTTGGGATGTTGCTCATCCACAACATGACCTCCAGCCTCTGGCTCCACTTCAGGCCAGTGCAGCCTCAGCTGCCTTCCCCCAGTGCCTTGGTTTAAGAGCAAACCTCACAGACAGAAGTTCCTTCCATGCTGCAGGGCTTCCACAAAGCCCTTTTGTTGTACCTTAGATATTTGGTGTTGTGGGTGAGGTTTGAGTAGTTCATGGCAGAAGCTGAGAGATATTGTTCAGCTGCCACTGGTATCAGTGGCTCAAGGGGAGAGCAAAACCTTGAGTTAGCGGATATGCCTATGGAGAACAAAACAGTGTCAGGATATCTGACAAGGGAAACCCATCCCTCCAGGAGCTGCCCTGGAGGGGGGAAAGGCGCTGGATTTGCTTTGGTGTGGTGCTGCTGAATACTTTCTGCTTTGACACCCACCAGGTGTTTTAGAGCTTCTGGCAGTGTAACTGTGGGGGTCAGAACTTCAGCACAGGGAGGCTGTGGAGGAGCTGGCAAGCACTTGCTCCTCATGTGATGTCCCTGGCACCAAAGCAGGGATGAGACGTCAAGGGTGTTCATCGTGTCACTGGAGACCCTTACACAAGCTGTGACACAGAGCCTCGAGGCTCTGGGACAGCAACAGCAAAGTGTCCAGAGCCATAAGAGAATGCCCCAAATCAAGGGTGCCTGCAGGGTCTGGCCAGCCTTGTGCTCTGGGAGACAGGCCCTTGGGAAGTCAGAAAATGGCAATATGACCTCCCCTCCTTCTCAAGAGGAGAAGGATCCCTTGTGTCAGGATATTACAGGAATGTAAGAGAGCCTCTTCCCTTGCTGTGCACAGGAACAAGGATCGCAAGACCCAAAACAAGGGCAGAGACACAGGGCACCCCATTACCCCTGGCTTCAGGAGAAATCCTGCATGAAACTGGGGAGACAGGGAGACAATGACTGTGCAGAGTGTCTCCTGTCTTTGTCCCAGATGGCATTTTCCTGACAAAAGTGTATAATTCAGCCAAGTTCCAGCCCAATGCACTCAGCTGTTTTCAACCTCTTTTGTTTGTCTTAGAAGGCAGAGTGAAGCTGCCCAGAAATTAAAACCAAAAAACATATCCAGCTGTAGGAAAGCAAGATGTTTATTGCAGATGAAAACAGGCTATGAGAAAAACTTTCAGACTAATAATGATAGCACAAAATGTGGTGGGGTTTGTGGGGTGCAGTAAAAAGCTCAAGCTGGGCTTCTCCAGCCAGCTAAAATCACAGTGAGTGTTAGCTTTGCAATGCCACTCACATTTATGCAAATAAGAAATTACTGTCAGAAACACAGGTGGATGCTGGACTGTATGACTGAAGTGTAGTGTGGCAGAGCACTGTGAGTCCTTCCATGGGCCCAAGCAAAACAGCCTGTTTGCAGAGAGAGCAGGAGGCTCATAAGCCACAGGCAACTCCCTAGGGGCTGCCTCTCTAGCCTGGAAGAAGCATAGAAAGCAGAGTGACAAGGAGAGTATGGGCTTTATGGTTCCCAAGAAAGCAGCTGCTCAAAATCACTGTGCCATACTTGTCAAGTTTGTGAGGTGAGAGTAAAAATAAAAAATATCCCCAAACAATCAGAAAGTTAATACAGAATATGCGGAATGTATTCGTTATCCTGGTGGTCATTTTCCAGAGTATTGAACTCTTTTAATAGATCTGCTTCTTCTGGTTTCGGCATATCCTCTTCACCTGTAAGGCATGTAAGAGACAGATCATTTCGTACTGGGGGGCTCCCCTGTTACCCCCCTGTCCCATGTTAAAGCCTCCCTGGCCAGTCTCCTGCAATTGCCCGGAGAAGGTGTTAGGTGGATTGCCTGCTTTCCAAGGGCACTCCCAGTTGTGGAGAGGAGTTGGAGAAGGTAAGGCACTGATGAGTTCAAAGCCAGAGGCAATAACCACAACCCTGATGGTTGCCCATTTCAAGACCTCAGGGCTGGAGGCTGGACACCCACCCCAGAGCCCAGGATGCAGAATAGCTGTTTTCCATGGCGTGATGGCACCACATGCCTTGCATCAACAGGCCTTTTCTTCCCCCCTGCAGAGACATTGCTGGAAATACCATAGTTGAGGGTCAGAGGATTGTCACCTCCTCTGAAGCAGAACCTTAGTTTTCCTGCTTTTGAAGCAACCTGCATGCTTGACCCAATGACTGCTAAAGAGAATGTACTCTACTCTTCCCATGACAGATCTGGGAGCAAATCCTGCTGCAGTAGCTGTAATTGGATTTTTCTGAGCCCAGACACCAGCCTGCCATTCTGACCAGCTTAGTGCACTGCATGCCTCAGTCCTGGCAGCTTTCAAAGGTGTAGTTGCCTGCAGGCTCCCACGCTTTGTCCCAGTGCCCACTTTGCTCTCCCACCATCCCAGTGTCATCCCTGAAACTGGACTGACTGTGGACAGAGCATGTCTTGACTTTGGCTCCCCCAATCAGCTCTGACCACAAAAAAACCTCATCTTCTCTCCACAGAGAAGAGATCTTCACAGAAATATATCCCTCTGTGCTAATACGGCTGTGGCAGAGCCACAGAAGTGTTCTTAGGACAAGGAGTTAGAAAGAACCAGGTGCACAACCCCATCCCAATGACTGACTAGCTTGTTATCACTCCCCTGGACTGGAAGAGAGCTGTCTGTCCCCGCAGTCCCACCTTCCCCCCACCCATTCTCAGCTACCCCAGTTCTGTGGGGTAGGACCCATGACCTGGAAATGGGGCACGGTTGCTGTTGATAAGGCAGGCACCCTTGGCTGACAGTCCTCAGGCGGCAGCGCTGCACTGCCCCCAGGCCAGCACGGGGCCAGCAGCTCTGCGGCAACTCACCAGTAGGGTCCAAGCTCCTGTCTGCCAGCTCCCCTTCCACTGCCCCCGCCGGCAGCCCACCGACCATGTTCTGGATGGGCAGCATTGGTGGCTGCTGTTGAAAGCCTGCTTCAGGCAGCGCTGGCTCCGAGGGCTCTGGCTCCCAGGGCGCTGGCTCAGCCTTCTCCTCTGGGTCGGGCTGGGGGTCCCCTGCTGGCTCTGACTCCAGGACAGCCTTGACCACTGTCTGACGGCCCCGTCCTCTTTTGGCTCTTCTGGCTCTCCTTTGCTGTTCGTTCTTATAGTCTCTGCCAGGGGATTTCACAGGGATGAATAGAACAAAGGACTTTCCCTTCTGCATAAGGCAGTTTGCTGGGTCCCCTGTTGTGATTGTGACCCAGCTCATCCTGCAGAAGCTGCAATTCTTCAGCCCCCCTTCCCAAGCCCTGCACAGCAGCCTTCTGCAGCTGCATCAGTGGGCAGAAGCTTGGGCAACAAATTCTTCCTCAGCCTCACATTATGATTGAGGTTTGCTTGCTTCCCCTCAGCCATCTCTCCCCCCAGTGCCTGTGCAGACCTTGAGCAGCTACTGGCTGCAGGTCACCTTTCCTCACTGAGGACTGATGGCTCTGTCCTTGGGTGAAGATCCAGAGACTGGGCCATGTCTGGGCTCAGATTAAGTGCACCACAAAAGCACTATGACAGAAAAAAGCAAGATTTACCTCATAACCCACTGAGCTGAATCTTTCTCCAGGGCTTCTGCTTTTCTTTTCCTGAGCAACTCCCGGTCTCTCAAGCGACGGGTTATGATGACGTCTACGAGGATAAAGTGAGTGCCAACGTGACATTCTGATCCCTCCCTGCCTGGCACTAGAGCACTGATGCAAGAGGCCATGACTTTTTTTTTGTCCCAAAGGCATCTTAATATGAAACTCCTTGAGCACTGTACTTCCAGCACAGCCTCAGTGGGGAGGATTTGATGACACCACACCCATAACTCCCAGGCTCCTAGCCTGACAATTACTGTAGATTTCCAGGTACAATTCCTTGGGGTGACCCATGTCCAACCTATTCCCATACTGAAGGGACCTGGGGCGTGGTGCCTTTGATCAGGCATCAGTACAGACTGCAAGATAATTCTTCATGTTTTCTCCATTGTTACACTTTTTCCCAGACAGCTGGAACTGGCCACCACAGAAATTAAGATGTTTATCTAAGAACCTAGAAGAAAGCCTTGACCCACAGAACAGACAATCCTTCAAAACAGGAGCAGCTCTGTGGGGGCAAGGATGAGCCAGAGGGCACAGCCTTACCCACATGGATGCTCACATGCATTGGGCTGAGACCTCGTGGGGAGATGGTGATGCAACCAGAGACCGACAGGGCTAGTACACCCTGCTGGGGTTGAGAAAACTGGTCCCAAACACCACACAAACAGCCCCAAGCTGGTCTGCAGCTGTGAGGAAGACCATGGCAGGGCCTAAGAAAGACTAACTGATTTGAGAAAGCTCCAATGCTGGCTTTATTATTTGGGCTGGATGTGCAGGTTGCATATAGCCAGTAGCAAAGAGGAGCACTCCCCAGATCCCAGATCACCACACCTTCCTTGACCAAGGTAAGCAGTGTCCATTTCACTGGTTGCACAGGGCTCCAAATGGCTTCCTGAGGCAAAGACCAGCCTAAAAAATGGTCTGAACTTCACTTCTCCATGTCTTTTTGTCCTAAAAGACAGCAATCCCTGATGATTTCTAGTGTAGACTCTAAGCTGTGGTAGTAAAAACTTGTCTCCAATCAAGCAGCATGCTACCCAATTCCAGGAGACACAGGGAGCAACAGTACTGCCCTGAGGCCTTGAGGGAGAGGGAATTCTTCCCAAAGGTACACTGAAGAGATCACAAAAGAAATTATTATCATAGTTTCAACAAAACCCACACAAGTGGAAAAGCAAGACTATGACCTGCTCCTTCCAGATGTAATCGGATCCAGCTCCTTTAACAAAAAGCCTTGGCTCACACTAAAGTAGTGAAATCAGTGAAAAATTGTCATTTTGTCATTCTCTTGATCAGATGGTAAAATTGTCAAGGAGAGAAAGACTTCTGAGGCTGAGCTGGGATTACAGGTCTTTTATTAAATTCCAGGTATTTATTAAATGCCAGTAAAACTGGCATTGCATTGTCCTGTCCTGTAGTCCAGGACAGGACAATGCAAAACTGACAGCAGGAGCCAGTCTCTGCCCAAAGTAGGTTTTTACACAAGACACATCTGATAATTAATAATAATCTTACAGAAATTTATCTTGGAGAGTATTTATGTTGGTCTATGCTTCAATGTCCTCACCAAAGCAGAGTCAGCTTTAAAATTACATCTGACTGCCCAGAACACTGTCCAGGGAAGCTGAGAATAACTCCAAGACAAGTGGGAGGTTGTTCCCTGATACGAAGCAGTAACAGAGACAGTAGGGCTCAGCCAGCAGGAGATGACTCTGCCATCCACTTAGAAAAAGGCAGTAAACTCCCTGGGAAGATGAGGTTACAAGTTGCAGTAGCAAGATCTGCACAGGGCCTTGGTTCAGCTACTGAAGTACATAATCCCTTGCACATCCCATCTGCAGCCACGGTAATTTTATTTTCCTTTCAAAATGTCTTGTGAGCTGTAAAAGCAATTTTAGCTGCTTGCAGTCCGTCTCCTTCGCAGTCCATTCTAAGAAAACATCCCTAATTCACTTCTAACTGGTCCAAGAAAGCACTCCCACAACAGCTCCAAAGCTGTCACCTGCCAGCACTAAGCAGGGGAGACCACAGTAAAACATATGCATCCTGATGAAAAAATATTTACTAGAGGGCACAAAGAAACAGAAATTAAATTAGAAGAGAAAAGAAAATCAAGCTATATAAACAATGAGGCAGTACTGCCAGTCTGCAAAGAGACAATATACTGATGCTCTCTGAAGCACTTTAGTTGAAAAGCCTTTATATGTGCTTTGGGATCTGGAACATAACATGTAAAAAGACATGCATTTGCAGTTAAATGTGCATCCTCTACCCCCAAGCATAGACTAATAATTATTAGTTCCTTTCTGAGAAACACTTGGTAACAAAAATCATGCTCTCCTCTCTCCAAAAACTCAAGTTAGGAATGTTGTCATCATTACCTGGCACAGCATACTCCTCACAGGTTGCAGAGGGTGGCAGGGAAGAGTCCGAAGAAGCATGGTCTTTGCCTAAACTCTCCATTGCTCTTTGCAGTTTTAATTAGAAAGCAGCTTAGTTCCCTGGAAACAGCATCTGGAGATACTGGTGCAGCATAATGAGAGCTTGAAAAAAATGCAGACTGCCCGCCCCAAACCTCTTATCTGGCCAGGCCACTAGGAGGGTAATAATATTCTCCTTATCAGAGTGGAAAGGTGTGTGAGCCTCTGTCCAGGATCTACTGTGTGGATTGCAAAATATGTTAGTGCTTTTATACTGCAAATTGTTCCACTTCAGATAGGAAGTTTGCTGCTGCTGAACTGTGACTCAAAAGCTCTCCTTTGTAGTGGACATGGAAGGGCAGGATGTGGCACTGCCTCAGTGCTGCTTTCCTGAGTGAGGTGCAGGGATGTGTCGTTAGTCCTTAAGGACCCCTTGAGAAATGGGATACATGCTGTCTGAAGGTGTTTGCATAGGATGCTTGCAGTGCTGGTAGGGAGGCACATCCTCCAGCTCCCCTCACAGCAGGACTGGCAGCTTCACAAGGACAGGATGGCTGAGTTGCCATATTCTTTGGAAACCCCTAAGGATGGAGACTGTCACAGTCATGTTACCTGCCCAAGAGCAGCACCAGCTTCCTGGGATCCAGACAGAATAATAAAACCATGCCAGCCTGGCTGTGCATGTTGAGGACTTCCTAATGATTGTTTGGTCCAGATCCTGGTGGATCAGGACTATGAACAAAGCACTTCACTGATGAAGCAAGAGTGGCAATGGGCAGTCCCAGTAAAACCAGTGGGAAGACCCAGCTGTTCCCTTGCCCCAACAGGATGATTTCCTTCCGTGGCTGCTCCTAGCTGCTGGTAGCCCCTTGCAGCCCCAGCCCTGCCTGGCCTGCAGGCTCCTGCAAGGTCATCTGCAGGGCCAGCATCCCTGCAAAGGGGAGGCTGCTGCCTGCTACAATGGCTTCAATGCTGAGAACCTGTTCGTTGCTCTGTGGGAATGGCCTGGCCCCTAGATCAGTGCATGTGAGATGAGGGGGTTATCTTGGCCTCTCCTGAAAGCTGCCTTCATAGTTTCTTATGCCAGAATAGCACAGAAAAGCTCAAGCTTATATTGTGTGTAACAACTCTGATGGAGCAGAGGTACCTCTTTAGCCAGTTTCTAGTGCACTCAGCTGCTATCAGCACTTTTTTCCATGAGACATTCAACCACTTACACACCGATTAGGTGCTAGTGCCCCTAACGCCTTCCCTCCCTGCCCACCATGAATTCAGAAGTGGTTCAAAGGTTGGTAAAGGACTCGATAGCCTGTTTACCCCCAGGTCCTCTGCAACCCAGCTACCTTTCAAGGCAGGGATGATCCTACCTCCTCAAGCAGCCTGAGGACTTGCCCTGAGTAAAGCAGCTCCTCAGGGATGAGCAGATCTGGCTGCCTCCAATTTTTGCCAGCCTTTTTTATTTTTAGTGTACATCCCGTACTCTCAGCAGGATCTCTCTCTAGGTCCCTGGAAGCTCCAGAGCTTGAAACTTCATGCATATAGATTTCTGAAGATCTAACCTTGGAGGTCCGTGGCCATCTCTGCTGCCATTCTTATCCCCTGAGTTACCACTTTACTCTAGGGCTCGTGCCCTGTGTCCACTGCAGATTACACGGTACCTCCAGAGAGGTGGGGTAGGTCTAACAGCCCCAAAAGGAGCAACAGGGTGGTGGCAGCAGAGGAGATATGGGAAGGCTCTGATATGGGAGGGTGGGCCAGGAGCATGGATGGCATAAAGAGATGTGAGGCTACCAAGTCATTCACGGAGTAGTTTCTTGTAGCTCAGTCACAAATGAAGACAAGGTGTGCCAAGCTGGTGAGGGTGTCCCATGTTCCAGCACTGCCTGAAGATGCAAAGCACAAGAGACACCCCGGTCATGCAGACATCTGGGAACTGTACCCTGGCAGGATACTTCACTGTGCAAAGGCATGGCTTTTGGAGGGGCAAACATATCAGGCCTTGAGCACTGTTTCTGGTTTGTGTCCCTCATTACAAAAAAGACATTATTACAGAACCACACAATGTGCTAAGCTGGAAAGGATACAGCAGGATCATTGAGTACAACTCTTGTTCCTGCTCAGAACACCACAAAATCACACCATGTGCCTGAGAGCATTGTCCAAATGCTTCTTGAACTCTGACACACTTGGTGCTGTGACCACTTCCTTGGGGAGCCCGTTTCAGTGCCCACCCACCCTCAGGGTGAAGAACCTTTTCCTGATATCCAGCCTAAACCTTCCATGACTCAGCTTCAGGCAATTCCATCAGATTCTGGCCACAAGAGTGAAGAGGTCAGTGCCTGCTGCTCCTCTTCCCCTCACGCGGAAGGTGTAACTGCAGTGAGGTCTCCCCTCAGTCTCCTCCAGGCTGAACGGACCAAGTGACCTCAGCCACTCATCACATGGCTTCACTTCAAGGCCTTTCACCATCTTTGTTGCCCTCCTTTGAAACTTTCTAAGAGCTCAATGTCTTTCTTATACCCAAAAGTGTGCCCTGAACAGCCCCCAGCACTGGAGGTGAGGCTGCCCCAGAGCAGAGCAGAGCAGAACAGAGCAGGACAATCCCCTCCCTTGCCTGGCTGTGATGCTGTGCCTGATGCACCCAGCACACGGGTGGCCCTTCTGCCTGCCAGGGCACTGCTGATTTGCATTCAACTTGCCACTGACCCGGTCCTTTTTCGCAGAGATGCTCTCTAGCCTCTCATTCCCCAGTCTATACGCACCAGGGCTGCCCCATCCCAGGTGGAGAAACTGAAGTGCTTGGAGCATGTTCAAAGAAGAGCAAAGAAGCTGGCAAAGAGTCTAGAAAACAAGTCCTCTGAGGAGTGACTGAGGGAGTGAGGGTGTTGAGCTTGAAGAAAAGGAACCTGAGGGGACACTTTATTGTTCTCTACAGCTTCCTGACAGGAGATTGTAGATTGTTGGAGTCCATTTCTTCTCCCACGTAACAAGCAATAGGATGAGAGGAAAGTACCTCAAATTGCTCTGGGGTAGGTTTAGGTTGGATGTCAGGCTGCCCAGGGCAGTGGTGGAGTCACTGTTCCTGGAGGTATTTGAAAGATGTGTAGGTATGGTGCTTAGGGACATGGTTTCCTGCAGGACATGGCAGTTAATGGTCGAATTCCATGGTCTTGAATGATTCTATGACTCTATATTCTGGGCTGCCTGCAGGTGGTGTAAAGCATGGAAGGAAGGGTGGAAATCCCTGTGTGTTTCAGTGCTCCACAGGAGCTGGGCGCATGCTCAGGCTGTGGCTAACTCAGCTTCTCACACCAACCATCTACGTGGTCACCCCAAAGCCTGGTGAGGGCTGATAAGTGGCTCTTGACTCAGCAAAACTTTGCCATAAGGCACTGCAGAGCCAGTCCTGTGACTGTTCGTCCATTTTGTCTCTCCATTTTTTGAAGGGAGCATTTGTGAAAGAAAGAGTCACTGTGCCCCAAGGTTCTTCAGAGGTGTTTAATGGAATAGATGGACTTCAAAATATTACAGAGCTGGCACTTGCATCTCTCAGGAGGGAAATCTCTAGAAGACACTTGTCCCTCGAGTGTAAATTACTTTAAATGCCAAGAGAGCAATTTCCGTATCTCACAGAAAACTTTGGTAATGGTTAGAAATGAGGAAATTACAGGCTCCATCACTTCCTTTCAAGTTGTTTGTGCTCTGAAGTAGAGGGGCTGAGATGTGCCCAAAGCTGCACTCCCTTTGCTGCAGAGACATTTGTGCAAGTGTGTTGCATTTTATGGCCAGTCTTGGCTACAGGAACTGCTGCAGTAGACACTTCACAGTGTGCCAAGTGCTGCTTCCCTCCCCTTTCTCTCCACATTTCAGTTCAGCTAGCCCTGGGCCATTTTCACTGATGTGTCCAGCCTCCTCAGTTCCTGAGGCCCTCCCTGGAAGACATCAGCTGAGTGTTCAGCAATCTGAGCATCTCCAGTGTCACAGACTCCTCAAATGCCATTGGAGCTGCTCAGTAGGGGAACATCACCAACCTTGGGTACATCTCACCATGCCACCACACAGCTTTCAGCACACAAATGTCCTGGGAAAGTTTTGTCCAAGGGACTCCTAGGGCTGGAACCTGCCATTGGCTGGACTGCTTTCACTGTAGACACACACCAGGCTTTGGATCTATGTGTAAGTCAAAGGTCTTTGTGAGCCTCAAAGATATCTGTTCCCCCTATCTGGCAAGGCTACTGCAAAGGACTGTCCAGAGATCTACACAGCCCTCCCTGCAGTCACGGATGCAGCCCTGATCAACATGGGCAGCTGGGGGAGCTGTGCTGCTGCCACTCTTACAGGGTGTCAGGGCACTTCTTCCAGTTTTGTCTCACAGGACAATGACAGAGAAGCAACTTGCAGGCTTGTCCTTCACTCCCTGACTTGAGGAAACTTGCCTGTTTGCAACACACAGCTCTGGGAGCACTGTGTGCTACTCATTGCTCTGTGTGACAAACTATGGTATCTGTGAAAGAAGAGAATCCCTTTCTTTCCCTGCCTTGACTGAAACATGAGAAGATGAGAAACAGACAGATAAATTGAATGGGAAAAGCATATACAAAAGTGCAAATTCATTTGCATACTCTCTGGCACAGCTCAGGGCGTTGCTGGCATCTTGCTGCCCACCAGCTGCCTCCTGAGTCTCACCTGACCTTGGCAGGCAAAGATCTGTTGGGCTTTAGAGTCAGGCTCTCTGCACCAGGCTGGTTTTGCACAGGCCCTGAGGTCTGTGGCAGTGTTCAATCACTGCCTTCACCTTTCCCTTGGTCTGCCACTTGCTTTTGAGCCATGTGAAATAAACAGCCAAATCCACAAGCCCCTGGGGAGGACAAGTACCTCTGAACTTGCTGTGTGTAGAGTCAACACTGACCCCATCCTGTGGCTGCCCATGTTCTGACCTTGCAGGTCTGGCCTATTAGTCTGTACTTTAGTTCTGCAATTTCTGAATAAACACTCCACTTTGTGCTGGAGGCATGTGGTTTCCCTCTTCAGAAGAGCTTCTGGATGGTCTATGTTGTTTTTTCCTAGGCTCTGCACATAAATAGTCGTGGCTCTCAGGGCATGCACAGCACACACACTCTTGGGCCGCAGCCACTCTGCGGGTGCAGCTCAAGCCATGGCACGGAGCTGAGACCCTGGTGAACACTTACCCACCCCAGGGGAGAATGAGCCCCAGTTATGCTAAGCTGGGCACAACCTTCCCTCAGCCCTGGCAGAAAACTGGCATAGAGCTGCCCAAATAAATCCTGCCTGTGGCTGAGTTGGCAGCAGCAGGAGCAGAAAACCTCAGGACAGAAGTGAGCAATAGATTTGTGCTGCTCACTGTGGATGTGTTTTGGCCATACCAAAGCCTTTCCCTAGGGTGCAGAGGGGACAGACAGCAAGATCTGCAGAGAAGAATTGGCAACACAGAGGGGAGTACACAGCCAGACCACCTCTTCCATGTTATTTGGGGACTGGAAGGGGACAAACAGCCTTGCAGAGCCTTGGGACAAATGAACAGGTAATAGCAGCAGCCATGGACAGGTATCCCCTCCTCTGCAGAAATAGAAAGGATTCAGGAAAGGAAAACAGGGAAAATCAAAGCTCTGGACAACCCTGAACAATTAGTGAGGCTAGGACTTTTTAGCCTGGGAGAGAACTTTCTAAGGAGAATAAAGATTTTGATGACAGCAGCTGCCTCTGGGACAGAAAATAGTGGATACCATCCATCTGACTGAGCATAGCTGGTTTATGCTCCTCAATACTATTTCCAGCTGCAGCATTAAATCTGTCAGCAATGGCTTTGTTGTGCATTGTGGTGCTTTGGGTGTCCCACCTGGTGGCTCCAGCAAGGTGCAGAACTGGGTGAGAGGGTGAATTCCAGCTGACCAAGCACAATAGTCATAGTAGACACTGGCACATCTCCCAGACTCTGAGGATGGCCACTGACTTTGGGGAGCTCACTTTACCACAGGGTAGACCTCAGACTCCTATTAGATGCCTGCAAATGAGAACTGTATGGGATACTAGTATAGCAACAAGTCAGAGCAACAAGACCTCCTGTGGGTGAGTGCTGACCTGTCCTTGGAAGGTTTCAACTCACTCTGAAGCACTCTTCAAAGCTGGTCAAAAATCTCAGCTGGTAATTCTGTACAAATACAACATCTTGTGCGGGACTGAAATGACCTCAGGAGGCAAGCCCTGCATCAGCCCTCTGATCTCTGCCACTGTGAGCAAAGGGGGCCCTTGCCTGCCCAAGTTGTATGGCCTTGTTGCAGGTGTTGTGCATGCCCATGTGCTAGAAGAGGGAGATGAAAGAGCAGAGGAGGCCCCAAGGCCTGCTGATTCACACTGACACTATTACCTTGGTGGGACTGAGCCCTGCCACAATCTCAAAGATGATAGCTCTGACACCAGGAGCCACCTGCAACTGAAAATTCTTCACTCTCAAGTGCTGGAGCAGACATCTGGGATCCCTGGTGTTCACCATCTCTGCTCAGTCTCTTTCCATGCTCCCATGATTATCTGAGCAGAATGCTCTATGAAAGGCCTTAGATAAAAAGCAGAATAACATCTAATATGAGAAGTGCAGATGTTACTATTTTCAATTTACATCAGCTCTGGAACCAGTGAAACATTTTACTAGGGAGCCATGGAGTCATCTTCTCCCATGCCAGAGAAACTTTATTTTCCCTTCACTAAATTGACTCCTACAGAGAAAACACTGTGCTTGTTCAGCATCTTCTTCATCAGGACAGGTGCATTTCTTGCTACTCCCCCATGGCCTTTCTTGCAGAAGTGTGGGTGAGATAATACTCTGTGCAGAGCATCCCAGTTTGTTATGTGGATTTGAAATTATTGTTTTGACTGTGCACTTTTGGTAGCCCTTGGTGGGAACTGGCTTATGCTGTTTTCCTCCAGCCATGCATAAAAAAGTGCTGTTGAAATAAGATTGTGCATGTCATTTTATTATTTGCCATAGCTAGCTTAAGTGTGCAATTCGCACAGAGCCCACAGGATCAATTAATCACCTGTTTTTAGGCTCAGAAAAGTTATCAGAAAGCTCAGGCATCTTGACACTGCCCATCTTTCAAAATCTGGATGTCTTGCCTGGTTTTCCTAGAGTAATATAGGAAAAAAGAGTAAGAGATCAAAATAAAACACCATTCCATGAGTCATACTTTGGCTGCATTCCATCAAATGGAATGGAGCTGACTATTACAAAATTGACCTACTCATTTTCCTGTCTAAAGAGCTGAGGTGACTGCAACATCCTGGCTCATGGATGTGCCCTCCCAGAGCCCGTGGTACTGGTGCTTCATCTGCAGCTTGACCTGCTCACAGCAGGACTGTCCCTAGCACGAGGCTGTGGTGGCCATGGCTCTATCTGAGCACCAACCACCATCCCCAAGAATGGAGACCCCCCCCCCTCACACCCCTGTAGTGCACCACCAATTGGACCTGGTGCCTGTGTCAAATTTTCACCCTCTTGGGGCTGCTGTTTGCGGCTGTTGTCTCCTGTTGTACTGCCTGCACCAAGACAACTGAGGCTCCATCCCATCTGCGACTGTAGGCTGCTTCTGGATCCCCCCAGCCATCCCCTTCCTCCGCCTGGCTGGGTACAGCTCCTCTGCTCTTCCTTGCAGCTTCGCTTGACGAGCTGGCCATCCCTCCCCTCCTGCAGCCCAGCACACGGTTTGTTATTCGCCATGCAAGTGCAGCCTGCCATAGCTTTTCCCAGGCTCTGGGGAGCCTGAATGGCTGTACTTCACAAGCACCTAGTTTCAGGCAGCCAAAATTAGACCCAGGAGGTCCCTGCCAAGGGCATGAGCTTACATTTTTTCCACGCAAAGCTGGCATTCATTGGCATAGGTATTGCCATCGGTCCCACAGATGGGCAAGTACAGGAGGGGGCAGGCCTGCAAGTGACCCAGGTCTTCACACACTGGCTAGAAAGGAGAAACCACAGCACACATTTCAGTGCCAGCAGCGCCCATTTCTTCCCCCCAGAGCACTCAGGCAGGACCAAGTGCCACTGGCAAACTGGTTCCCTCTGTCAGAGTAGTGCATGCCCGCAGAGGAGCAGCAGCTGCTGAATCCCTCAGTGGGACTCGTGGCCTGGGCTTTGGTGTGGGTTTGGTGCTGGAACACCAGCTGCCATGAAGCTGGGGATGATCTCTGGGAACCGTGTTTCTCCCAGGCACATCAAGCATGCCCAGCTCAAGCCATGAACAAAGAAAACCAGAAGCCTCTTACCCTTCTCAGGCCAGCCCCTTCATTCAGCTCTGCCCCTGAAAGAGAGCAGAGACCCATGAGTGTGGCATTACCCATGCCTGATGGCAGAAGCACTAGAGATTGACAGAGGATCACATCCCAACCAAAGGGAAGGTAGTGTTGTGCAGAGCCCATTCAGGACTGAATCAGCCCTGTGGGTTTCATGAGGGGGAATCACTTTGCTGCTGCATGCCACTCCCACCCCCCCTGACAGCAGCACAGTACACTGCCTCCATCCACAGCTGAGCTGGCTGGGACAAAGCTGTGAATGGCTGTTCCCACCCCCTAAACCCTCTCCCAACAGCCCTCTCTCCCAGTTTCTGGGTCAGAAGCTCCAAGGAGCATCCAAGACAGCTCAGGAAATGGGAAAGCATGCAATGCAGCATGTGGCATGGGGTATCCTCAGAGGGATGAGGCTTGGTGATATTGCGCAGCTGGACAACTGCCGCCTCTAGGGAGAGCAGCATTTGGTGGGTTCCTCTTTGGTGGACAAACAGAGCAGTAGCAACAGTTCACAGCCCACCTGTGCAGTGCACAAGTGTCCTGGGAGCATGAAGGCTCACAGACAGGCAGCTCCAGCACCAGCACTACCTGCACGTAGGTAGCAATGGCTTCCCAGTGCCTATAAACAGGTTCTTCCCTCGTAAATATGCTGAGCACATACTGTTCTTGCAGAGCCTTGCCAGTTTGCATGGAGGCAGGAACTGCAGCAGCTGTGGACTCTCCCATATCGCTCCCAAGTGCAATACATTTGATGAACCAGCCTGTAACCCTTGACACAAACTGCTAAAAAGGAAGGCACGGCATATTTGCTCCAATCCCTCTTCCTCACCATGCTGCCACTGTTTGTTTGCCCTAACCTCACCTCCTCTCCAAACCAGAATTTCTGGGTCTTTCTGCCCTATCATGCATTCCCCTCCATCCCATTATCCATCTGTCATTCCCACCCCACGGCCCATGAGCCAGCCTCCAGCAGCAGAGCAGATTTACCTCCGACAGCGACCAGAGTTGCCATTGCTGCCACCAGCAGCAGCAGCTCTCTCCCAGACATGGTCAGTTTGGGCAGGACCTGCTCACACACCTCACTCTGCTTGTGGCTGCCTTTATAGAGGAGGGCACAGCCTTATCTCAGCAACACTGGGAAAAGCACTGTTTTGTTCCTGCTGGGAGCAGCTGGACTGTACACCCTAAGGGATCACTTAGGCACTCTTGCACATAAGATAAGCTTTCCCCTGAAGCTTTCTACTTGTCAGCTTCAGGTGGCAGGATCGGAGGCTGCTTTACAATCCCTTTTTACTGTAGTCAGGTGCTGTGGTTTGACACTGGCCCAACGCCAGGCAGCCACAGAATTCACTCACTCACCCTTCCCTGCTGCAACCAGAGGAGAGAAAAATTTCATGAAGGCTTCATGAGTTGAAATAAGGATGGCAGAAAACACTCCAAGGGCAAAAGAGGCTTGCCTTAGAGGTACAAAGTGAATTTATTACTAACAAAATCAGGAAGAAAAGAGAAGTAAAATAAGCCCTTAAAAAAACCTTTCTTTATCCACAACTCTTCCCTCCTTCCCACCGACAGTGAGGGAGACAGGGCACAGGGGTTTTGGTCAGTCCATCACCTGAGGTCCTCTGCTGCACAGGGAGAGGAGCCCATCCCCTGTGAGACTGTGGGGTCCCTTCCCATGGAAGATAGCTCTCTATGAACTTCTCCAGCATGGCTCCAATCTCACAAGCAGTAGTCCCCCCAAAACTGCTGCAATGTGAGTCCCTCCCACAGACAAACAGTGTTCCCAAAACTACTGCAACGTTGGTCACTCTTCCACTGGGTGCAGCCCTCCAAGGACAGGCTGCTCCAGCCTGGGACCAGGGCCCCTCTCTCCACAGGTCTCCCACAGGATCACAGCCCCCTCCAGGCATCCACCTGCTCCAGCATGGGCACCTCCATGGGCTGTGGGTGGATCTCTGCAATCCCCGTGGATCCCCATGGGCTGCAGGGGCACAGCTGCTTCACCACGGCCTGCACCACGGCCTGCAGGGGAATCTCAGCTCCAGAGCCTGGAGCAGCTCCTGCCCCTCCTTCTCCACTGACCCTGGTGTCTGCATGTTGCTTCCCTCACGGTTCTCACCTCCCCTTCTTCTCTGGCTGGAATTAACACTGCATGCCGCACTTGGTTTTGATTTTCTTATTAAATCTGTAATCACAGAGGCATTACCAACCTCTCTAGCTGGCCCAGCCTTGGCCAATGTCCAGTGGCATGTCCATCCTCAGAGCCATCAGGGATTGGCTTTGCTGGACATGATGGAAGTTTCCAGCCCCTTCTCACAGAAGCCACCTCTGTGGTCCCCCACTATCAAAAACCAGGCCGTGCAAAACCAACACATCAGGGTTGGGCAATGCTGCTCTGCTCTGCTTATTCCAGCCAGCTACTTCTGATTGCACCTCATCTAAAGCATCCCTTCACCCTTGCAGCTGCTGTTCTTCGTATGTGACAGGTATCTGCACTTGAGTTGTGAGACTAGACATAGAAAAGCCAGGAAATTCCGGCTGATTAGAGTGGTGGCACTGTGGCATTGTCCCATGAGACCCAGCTAGGTGGATACTCAGCTGCCTGATGCACTGGTCAGGATCCCAAACACAACAAGAGGCCTGTCACTGTGCTGCAGCAAGCCCACACAGTCATTGGGCGGGATGGGATGGGATGGGATGGGATGGGATGGGATGGGATGGGATGGGATGGGATGGGATGGGATGGGATGGGACGGGACAGGCTGGGGGTGCAGAGGGTCTGGAGGGTACAAAATTCTGCTCCCTGGGGGCAGGAAGCTGCAGGTGCAGTCACTGCCTATGCTCAGGAGCCACATAATCAGAGGTGGTTTAATCTAACCTTACTCCACTCACCACCTTGGCTGCAGCCAACATTGCCAGAGCAAAATTATCTTTATCATAAGATTTAGTATGTTGGAAGGGGACAGTGGGCATGGATACCCAGATTAAATACACAGAGGTGGCATACAGAGCAGGGAGAGGACAGGGAGGATGGACACAATCCTCAGTGGCAAGTAACACTGTCTTTTCAACAAGAAACATGACCCTAGAATATCCCAGCTGCTTTGCCTGCAAGACTGGATGCTTTATGTCAGATTGAGCATTTTTATCTGCTCTTTCTCAGAAGCTTTATTTTCTACATCTGTCCCCACTTTCCTTAGGTGAAAAAAAAAATCAGTTTGTGAAGGGTGAAGGATGGAAAAGAGGACAACTGGTCATAAAGTCAATGCAAGACCAATGTTGACTAAAAACTCCTTCAGGTCACATTTGCTGAAATGAGATCTGGGCCAGAAGGGACAGAGAGTGACCTTCCCCATGGGAGCAGATGGGATGCATCATGTGTGCAAGGGGTGAGCAGGGGGCAGGTGCCCTACAGAAACCACCAGCAGGCTGGGAGAGATCCACGTGCATGGAGCACACACATTTGCACTTGCTGAGGATCTGACAACGACTGTGCTTGGGATGTTTTTTCCCCAGAGGAAGATGCTGCTGGCCCTCTCTGTCTGAGTCAAAAGGGGACAGCTTGAGCATTCCTTGAGGCCAGAGAGCTATGGGCCCTGCCAGAAGCTGCTGGCACCCTTCTACTGGAGATCTGTTCGTGCAACTCAGAAGGGCTGTGACCAGGACTTGGGAAGTGGCAACGTCACCAGCTCAGGGTTCCTGTTGCACAGTCATTCCTCCACTCTGCCAAGGCAGCTGCACACATGTTTTATATTCCCTCTTCACAGAGTTTACACAGTTCAATTACCTTTGGCTTTCATTATTATTCCACTTTGGAAATCCCTCAACTAAAGTAAATATTTAACTGCATTAGCAGTTGTTCCCAAGGCACATGGGGTCCTGTTAGTCTTGTTTAGTCTAGTACAAGGGAGGCCAAGGGGGATCTGATAGCTGCCTACAACTGCTGGAAGGGAAGCTGATGCAGCCAATCTCTTTTTGGTGGTGCCAGATGACAGAATAAAAAGCAATTGTCACAAACTGCAGCCTTGAGATGGTCAGGTCAGGAGTCAGGAAAGAAGCCTTACCCCAAAGGCTGTACAAGACAAACCAGCAGAGACATGGGACATGTCCATCTCAGCAGAACAGGTACCTGACCAAGCCTCACCGTGCACGAGGTTTGTTGGGTGAGCCCTGAAAGACCCTGCCACCAGCAGGTTGGGTCCATGGGACAAGCAGCTGTTGGTCTCCAGCACACATGGATGTATGTCCTTAGATTCACATCTAGCCAACACTCAACAGTGTAGGCAACCCAGAGCCCCCTCCTGCAAACTGCTCACTCACCAACACATTTCATGGTTCCAGATGAGGGCTATCTTGGGCCTTTAAAGTCTTCTCCAAAGTTTTTACTACCAAGAAAAACATCCAAATGCTGATTGTAATGCCTCTGGTGCCACCTCCGCTGCCTCTGATTCCAAGCAAGGCCTGGTTCTCTGGTCATGCCAGCAGCAGCGCAGGAGCAGCAGGCTGAGGCTGTGCTGCTGGGACGTGTTGTGTGCTCCAGATCTCTCCTCTTGGATAGAGGGTGACAGGAAATGTCTGCTTCCCCTCTGTGCTGGAGGCACCAAGGTCGGTTGGCTGATACAAGGCTCGATCTTCCTCCACCTCATTCCTCAGTGGTATTCAAATTCTAGTGCCTTCACAAAGCAGATTAAAATTATATGCTAAGAGATGACAAAGCATAAATGACCTCTTGCAAACTGTTTTTGTCCTTTCAAGCTTTTCTGCCAAGCACAAACTTGCAACTCCTAATGAAAGTCCCTGCCTACTACGCCTTGAAGAAGAGGCGGGGAAGTTCTTCCTCAGGTGGGGCAGGAGGTTTTCTGGTGGCTGCTTCCCTCACATTGGAATTGGCTGTGGAGCTCCAGCTGGCTCTGCATTTTCTCCTGGTATTTACACCAGCAAGGTGGTGATATGGAAGGCTTCAAGACATATGACGGGGAGATGTGAAGGCTCTGGGTTTGCCTGAGGAGCTGGAGACCTAGTGTCATCACCAGCAAGACGCAGAAACTCTGCTGGAGACAGTGGCAACAAGCAAGGAGACCTTTGATTCTGAAACCAATCTTAGGCCTGCTCCGTTGCAGCGCTGCCCCTGCCGCTGTGCTTGTGCCCCACCAGTGGTGCCCACATCCATGCGCTCCTCCCAGATTGCTCATCACCCCCTAAGCCCTTATTGCACCTGTGCCCTCCGAGGGGGCTGCAGCTGTGTTTGCAGCCTCCCCGTGGGTGGGCACAGGTGGCGGCCGGCCAGGCCGCATTGCGTCACAGTGCTCTTGCTCCACACCTGCCTGCGGCCTTATCACCGCGTGGCCTTGGTGTCATCACCGCTCCACCCCGCACCTGCCGTTTCCTTGTTGTTATCTGTTGGCTTTCCTGGATTTCATGGCTGTTCTCGGCCTTCGCACGTTCTGCACCCATACTGATATTTTAACTCCTGCTCTGCTGCTCCTCCCAGGGCTCTGGCATACGGACGGATAGTGGGGTCCCACAAGTACTGCAGTGCCCCAAGAGAAGAGTGCTGCCTTGCTTGTGCAGCCCAAACCAGAGCCCACCTCCTGCTGCACAATGGGCCAAGGCAAAAAGAGGAGGGCAAGTGCCACGCTCATTTTCATCTTTAGCTCACTCCCTGCATCTAGATGGGCTTTTGTAGAGAGAATAACAGTCTCTGCTCTGTTCCTCTGACCACTCTGAGGTCTCCAGACAAATAGGAGAGAGAAGGAGCAATTTGTTCTCTTTTGTATGAAAAAAATTTAAAAAAAACCCAAACAAAAAAGCCCCAAAAACCCCACCAAACAAACCAACCAACCAACCAAAACCCAAACAAACCAAATCAACACCGAAACCCAAACTCAAAATTAGCACCAGAGATGCAAGTGACCACCAGAGGTTTGCCCTTGGATATAATGTGGATCCAAAACTTGACACCTGAAATCTCAGTCTGTAACTGGGGAATGACCAGCCATCATCACTTTCCAGCAATTTTGCCAGACTTCCAGGATCCAGAATACATAT